TCCCATCAGTCCCCGGATCAGCCTTCACAGACCGGTCCACACCTTGTCCTCTTCGCCTCCAGCTTCGCACCAGCAGCATCACCATTCTCTGTTTCCGCCTGGACTTTCTCTGGCTCCACAGCGGCTTCCGCCTTTTTCTCCGCACTGCTAGGCTCAGCGGAACGACCCTTTTCACTGGCACGTTTCAAACTGACCCCCAAACTGCAAACCGCATGGTACTTCTTGCAATGGTTTTGGTGAGATATCCAACTCATCATCATGGGGAACAGGTTGATGCCCTACCATCTAGATCCAAACGCCGCATGTGCTCAAGAGCATGCTCAGTTTGGACACCATCAATCCCAAAAAAAGGATGCCGGGGGAACTGAGTTGGATCTTCGGCTAGCGTCCATTGCTAAGACAGGCGTTTTGGGCTCATAACCCCTTTCTCTTGATAAGAAATGCCTTCAAAATCCTTCAAAGATCAGATTGATATGTTCAAGCGTGCAAATGATCTGCATTTGGCGTTGGTGACCGTCCAGGTGAGATGGTGCTCCTCTTTCCTGGTGGGATCCGTGAGGCTCTCCATGGTCCCGGGGAAGACTACCAACTTTTTTGGCCCAGCAAAACAGATTTTGTTCGGGTCGCCGCTCGTTTCGATGCAGTGGTGGTGCCATTTGGTGGCATTGGGGCCGATGACAGTGCTCAGGCCTGGCAGCCAAGTGCGCTACCGAAAGTTGACGGAGTTGAGGGATATAACATGAAATAACATGATATAAATCGATATTGATATTGGTTGAAGTGGATTGAACCAGGATACTTTCGCGAACGCTTAGCCAAGGTCGGGAAAATATAGCTGGCGGACGCTTCTAACGTGCGGCCAGCCCCGCTACCTGATTGTTCACGAGATTGCTAATGTCATTTCAGTACCCCCCCCTCCCCCCCCACCCAAAAAATGTAAAAAAAATGATTGTAAAAAGTTTTCTAAACTAATATCATAGCCGTGTAACAACTCAAAATTTCTTCATTAAAAAACATAACAGTCTAAAAAGTTTTTTTTTGTATTGTTGATTGCTGCATTTTTCTCAACAATATCAAGGCATAGTTACCTCATTCAATTTTTCAAAAATAATACCAGTCAAAAACATAATTGCCTCATTCAATTTTTAAAAATCATAGCAGTCAAAACATAATTACCTCATTCATTTTTCAAAACCATAGAAGTCAAAAGCATTATTACCGCATCCATTTCATAAAAAAAACATAACACTCAATTCATCACACCCTCATCACGAAAGGTCTACCTTGAGTTTTACTTTACGAAGTAAAGGGGAGGGCGGCCAGCCCCGTTACCTGATTCTTCAGGAGATTGCTAGTCATTTTAGTACCCCCCCCCCTCCACACCTCCCACGCACCCTAAGAGCAGACTCAAAACATTGTAATTTACAGTATTTTTGTTCTTTTCGGATCAAGAAACCACATTTTGCTACATGGTGAAACCTCCGTAAATACCAGTGTTTTTGCTAGGTGCTGGCCAAAAAACACTGTAAATACCGTGCTTTTTACTACCAGAGGCAAAACACATCGTAAATACCGTGGTTTTGGGCTTCCGACCCGCCAAAAACATTGGTATTTACGGTGTTTTTTGCTCCGAGAGATGCAAAAACACGCGAAAACACCACCGATTTGACGATTTTCGGCCACTACGGAACCGAGCAAAAACGCTGCAGGGGTAACACCAACACCGACAAGAACAACACCAACAGCAACAGCAACAACAACAACAACGACGACGACAACAACAACAACAACAACACCAACACACAACGCACAACGCACAACGCACAACGCACAAAGCACAACGCACAACGCACAACGCACAACGCACATCACACAACACACAAAACACACAAAACACACAACACACACAACACACACAACACACACACAACACACAACACACAACACACAACACACACAACAACCACACACAACACACATACAACACACACACAACACACACACAACACACACAACACACGCAACACACGCAACACACACAACACACACACAACACACACAACACACACAACACACACAATACACACACACAACACACACAACACACACACAACACACACAACACACACAACACACACAACAACACATAACAACACACCACAACGCACAACAACACACCACAACACACAACAACCACAACAACCACAACAACCACAACAACCACAACAACTACAACAACAACGAATGACAACAAGGAAACACACACAACAACACACAACAACATACAACAAAGCACAACAACACACAACAACAAACAACAACACACAACAACACACAACAACACACAACAACACACAACAACAAACAATAACACACAACAACACACAACAACACACAACAACACACACAACAACACACAACAACACACACACACACACAACAACACACCACAACACACAACAACACACAACAACACACAACAACACACGCAACACACAACAACACACACAACAACACACAACAACACACACAACAACACACAACAACACACACACAACAACACAAACAACACACAACAACACACCACAACACACCATAACACACACAACAACACACAACAACACACAACAACACACAACAACACACAACAACACACAACAACACACAACAACACAT